AAACCAGAATTCTTGCATTGTAAATCATTAAACGGCAGGATCAACAAAACGATGTGAGCTCCTCCTGGGGAGAGGGGTTGCTATATTCAGACTCTCTTGGTAAAATCCTCATCATCATTGTAGGAACACTCAGTTCCACAGGGGGTGATTCTGCAATTCATGGGTTCCCAGCTTTATTTACGATACGCCTACTCCATACCCACTGTAACCTACAGGAATACTGATGAAAGATGAACAGAAGGGGGCATCCAAGTGTAGAGGGTTATTTTATTATTAAGCTGGACTCACGGCTTACCAAAGGACTACCTTACCATGCTTTCTTACTGTTTGTGAGTAGTTTTTATACCCTAGGTTATTAATAAAATAATAACCCTCTACACTTAGATTGGTGCCCCCTTCTGTCCATTTTTATCTCCTGCAGAGTACTGCTTCGCTCTAGGGGGAGCTGCCTTCGCCTGCCATACTCCACTTAGGATTATGGACTTTTATGTCTTGTTTGTAATTTTTTATCATATCACTATTGGTTTTCTCATAATTATATTTTTATATATCCCTTATTCCTCCCTTTTTTTATTTTTATTTTACACTGAGCATCTACTATATTCAGAATTTTATATGTTTGGTCCCCTCCCAGTGCTGATTTGTTATTTTTTCTCTGTACCGATGAAAGACTCCACCCTGACTCAAGGTGACCACACATGGCTCGAATTTTGGTGGATTTCTGCTGAAGTGGCCAAATTCCCGCATACACACTTTAATTCCCATGACTTCGAAGTCCGACTTCAGGTGCAACTTGGAAGACATCTATGCAACTTCATGCACAGATGTCTATGCAAGTAGCACCTGAATCTGCAAAAGTACTTTCAAAATCGGTGCGACTCTGACAGAATCACACCAAAAAGACCGCTTCCATTGCAGACAATAGGGTGCAACTTGTCATGCAATTTGAAACTAATTTGTCCTCGGTAACACAGATGTGACGTCCTGCTATATGATAAACGAGCTGAAGTTAGCAGCTGATTGGCTACCATGCAGAACCGCACCAGATTTTGCACTCTTCAGTTCTAGTAAATCAACCCCAATGTGTGAAAAAAAGCCTTACACCCTACCCCATACCATTAGGTACCTAGAAATGCTTGATACTTGCCTTTCCTGAACAAGCTACTGCTTTGGCTATGACTGACTGGCTCCACCAGAACACCTTCAAAAGGAGAAGATGGGACCCACCACCAAAAGGAAGACAGAAGCAGCATGCATGTGTTTTTTCAAAGGACAGGTAACTATGTAAGGTCTGTAAGTACCTAATTTATAGGGCAGCAAAGAAAATAAAATAGTAAAGGCTTATTTTAGGACAGCTGCACTGCAATTTGCTGACACCACTAAGCACGGCACCCTCAGAAGTGGCAGTAATTAGTGGCACCCCATGCTTCACTAGTCAGCACTTACAGTTTCTCGTAGGCTGGAGACCAGTTCTAATGAACTTGCTGCAAGCTAAATATTTTAGTTTTCTTTGTGTTCCATGATCGGCTTTATTAGACCTCGTTGTTTTGCATAATGCTTGCTCATCACATGTTTAGTAAGTAGGGCAAGTCTTTGAAAAGGCTGCGTGTTATATAAAAGGTAAACACTTCCTTTCAGTGCTCGTGGACACATCGTTCACAAAGAAGAAATAGGTTATGAGATGTGGGGACAATTCCAAAGCTGCACTTTTAAAGTTTTTGAAGGATGCTTGATAATGTTTGTGACTATCCCCATTATGTGCTCTTAATCACTTGCCAATCAACCTCTACAAAACTCAGGTAATCACTAGCTAGTAAAGTCAGTTACTGATGCTCAGGTCCGCCGGTTGTAGCAAACTACAAAATATCATCTAGTTAATGACTGTGGCAGCATAGACAGACTACTGTTTGATATGCCTAAAAAGATCTAAAATGTTCACAATTCTTTTAAGTAAACCTGTCAATCTATTAAAATAGTAAAGAGGTCAGTCTTAAAATCAGAAAGCTACTGATGTCTGCACATTATTTTTGTTACCGTACAAAGAGTGCTGGGTGCCTCCTGAACCCCGGAATCTCACTATGCAAACATGTTTGTTGTGAATGATTGGTGGCAATGTGAACCTCTCTAATTGTTATAAAGAACTCTGCTGAGGGATACAGAATGTTTTGGAAAGACAGAAGTCCAACTTTAGGATTTCAGGTGGTAGATACACTATATTGCCAAAAGTATTGGGACGCCTGCCTTTACATGCACATGAACTTTAATGGCATCCCAGTCTTAGTCCATAGGGTTCAATACTGAGTTGGCCCCGCCCTTTGCAGCTATAACAGTTTCAACTCTTCTGGGAAGGCTGTCCACAAGGTTTAGGAGTGTGTCTATGGGAAGGTTTGACCATTCTTCCAGAAGCGCATTTGTGAGGTCAGGCACTGATGTAGGATGAGAAGACCTGGCTTGCAGTATTCTTCTTAATTCACCCCAAAGGTGTTCTATCGGGTTGAGGTGCATGCCAATCAGGTCCCTCCACCCCAAACTCGCTCATCCACGTCTTTATGGACCTTGCTTTGTGCACTGGTGTGCAGTCATGTTGGAACAGGAAGGGGCCATCCCCAAAACGGTTCCCAAAACGTTTGGAGCATGAAATTCTCCAAAGTGTCTTGGTATGCTGACGCCTTAAGAGTTCAGCCCAACTCAAAAACAACCTCACACCATAATTCCCCCTCCACCAAACTCTACACTTGGCACAATGCAGTCAGGCAAATACTGTTTTCCTGGCAACAGCCAAACCCAGACACATCCAGTGGATTGCCAGACAAAGAAGCGTGATTGGTAACTCCAGAGAACATGTCTCCACTGCTCTACAGTCCAGTGGCGGTGTGCTTTACACCAATACATCTGACGCTTTGCATTGAACTTGGTGATGCAAGGCTTGGATGCAGCTGCTCAGCCATGGAAACCCATTCCATGAAGCTCTATAGGCACTGTTGTGCTAATCTGAAGGTCACATGAAGTTTGGCGGTCTTTAGCTATTGATAGTTGGCGACTTCTGTGCACTGTGCGCTTCATCATGCACTAACCCCCATCATTTTATGTGGCCTAACACTTGGTGGCTGAGTTGCTGCTGTTCCCAGTGGCTTCCACTTTGTTATAATACCACTAACAGCTGACCGTGGAATATTTAGTAGCCAGGAAATGTCACGGATGGACATATTACACAGGAGGCAACCTATCACAGGACCACGCTTGAATTTACTGAGCTCCTGAGAGCGACCCATTCTTTCCCATGCCTAGGTGCCCAATTTGGAGGGGTGACCAAATACTTTTAGCAATATAGTGTATATACCAAGCGTACAGAGGTGCCTCAGAACCCTTTGGAAGATAAGAGGCTCCAGGTGGCTACTTTGAAAGCTGACCTACCGGAATTATTTGTATTGCATATTTACATTGGTCCAGAGTGGCACAATGTAAGATTGCATATCTCTTACATGGGCTGCTGGGGAATTTGTAAATCACTCGGAACTACTACAGCAATGGGTTTGATCTGCTGCGGGGATGTGCTCAGCTTCTGCGAGAGGGCGGGGACTCAGTAAAAAAAATCAGTACATGGTGTTATGTGAATAGCAGCAGTGCCAAGCATTTGACCCCCTGTGGTCAGTGTGCAGAAGGGAAGCCACCTGCACTAAACCTGAACAAGGTTCAGAAGATCTCAGCTTACACTGCAGCAGCGCTAACAGTGACTCCCATCATCCTCAGTAGCCCACCAGGTATGAGATATGCATACTTACATTGTGCCAACCTGAATGTAAGCATGCCATATATATAATTCTTGGCGCTTTAGGTGTTAATGACATGTTTTTATTTTTTTTATAAAACAACAGGTTTTGTTTTTTGTTTTTTTTACAGTGTTATTTTATTATTATCCACTTGATGGAAGAGCATAAGCGCAATGGGGCAAATGTATGAAAAGGCTGGGCTCTATTCACAGGACTTTGAACAGGCACAAAAATTGATGCATATGTTCACATACTCCTGCTTCACTGCATTGTTCCATTAGGGTAGCCAAGTACTTAGGAAACATCAGGTGACACATTTACCCCAATGCTGCAGCAGGTGTAAAATACTACTGTGAAAACATTCATATAAACGTGAGTGCAAGACTAATCCTTCCAACCCTTCACTGGGTAACAGCAGTACATAAATCTGCCCCACTAATTTTGGAAGCACCAACTTACAGACAAAAATTTTACAAAAAAAAAATAATAATAGTACTCAGGCAACGAGTCAGAGAATACGTAGGTTCTCAGCACAATCAGACTCCAATGCTTCTGCTGTATTTAAAGAGGAACTAAAAACTCTCCAAATCAACATGAACTATTTTGAATACTTATGTTGCAAGCATTCATAAATAGACAGGTAGGTATATTATATCCTTGTTGCAAGCATTTGTAAATAGACAGGTAGGTATATTATATTTACTTGTTTAATTCTTTTTTTTCAGTTGCTTCCTGTTTTCTGGTCTAGGCCAATATGATGTCACAAATCCCAGGAGCCTTCATGGGCATTTTTTTCCCCTTTCATCTGGAAAAGAGGCTCTCTTAGCGAAGCACGTACTTTTGCCTGCATGCCTGAGCTAAGGGCAGATGAATTCCAGAAAGTAAATTGTACATGAATAATTTGCCATTATTGAAGATGGCTGCAACTAGAAATGCTAGGGGGGTGTTACTCAAAGTGGTTTCTCAACAAAATAAAGCATTGAGACATGGATGAGTGAGCTTGCTTGGAATATTAAAAAATTAATTTTAGTTCCGCTTTAGACAGAGGATAGACCCTCCTAAACTGAGTCTAGCCTGAAAAAAAAACCCTTCATAGAAGCAAACCAAGCATAGGTTGTAAATATAAAAGTAATGCATATGTTGTGTGCCTTAGCACTCCATGTAAATTAACTTGAAAACTCAAAGTTTGTGCCTCCTTCTGCACAGACACAACCCAACCCAAGATCCAGCTCACAGTTTCTGATTCGTAAAGAACGACTTTGCTGCTTCGCAGACTGGATTCACGCACATCGGACATCGCAGAGTTAACTGTTTGGAACAGGTCTCATTGGACTTGAGATGCGAAAGGACTAAATCGGCCAGAGCCTGGAGAAAGGAAAATAAATAAATAATAACAAAAAGGGAAAAGGCCAAATTGGTCAAAAGAAAACCAATAAAATGTAAACATTGTTGCACACCAAGAAGATATTGGCGACGATCAAGCATAAAGCAAAACTAAGGCAAATGTCTAACTTTTCCCCGATCGATTCCTCCGTGCTGTTTTCCATCTCTCAATCCACCAGCACCCCTGGGAAGACCGACTCTACAAAAGGAAACCTTGCGACTTTAAACCCAACAGGCTGCCTCCTTCAATTCTTCAAGGTATGTATAGTCTCCATGCAAAGTCTGGCAATGTTTATCCTAGCTAGACTTCTCCCCACTTAAAAAGAATGGATTTTTCACACTGTTGCCGCAGTTAGAACTAAGAACCAATAATCACCGTCCTGCAGTCAATAGCATTAAAGCTGGTTTAACAATACTGATACCTTGGAGAACAATGGATTTCCATTAAGGGATTCCGATCGTCTGATGTTCTCAACTCCACACTGAAACAGAGGAGGAGAGAGAAGAATGACTGTGGCTCCTGCCGATCGTTGCGCACACGGCAGAACACAAGGCTTATTAAATGGATTATTTATTATGTAAAAATGCTGTAACAATGCAAGGAAATGTATAGCTAATTTTCAGACCCCGTCAATGCGCCCTGGCTTCTCTGCGGGGGATTTCTCTTTGACAACAAAGAAGTTGTTTGAAAGTTTCCAAGAACTGATTAAGTATTGTGGCCTACCTCCATAAGTTTTTTTTTTTTTTTAATTGCATACGAAGAAATAATATAATTTATAAAGGCTGGGCTAGCAACACTTCTACAAGATTTCAGTTGGCATTTAAAAGGCTCTTCTATTTTAGTAGCCAGGGCTGAAGTTCCATCACTGAACCCTGTAGACACACAATCATACTCGGCAGGGCCACCATTCACAACATCCTGGCTAGCCAGACAGTAGATCTTCTGCCAGGCCAGGCCTTCCAAGAAGGACATGCAATTCCAAATAGTGTTGTATGCAGTGGCATAGGCCCCTTGCACACGGGCATAATAATTTACTGATGTTTAGTCAGGAATTTGTGAGCCCGTGTGCAAGGGGCCAAAACTGTGTGTAAAGACCTCAGTAATGCTGAGTATAGGCGAGTAAAGGTGTGTAAGAACATAGATGAGTAAAATTCTTCTTCACTGCCAGCATTGTAATATACTCACTTTTACTCGTGTAAACATTATAAACAAGTAAAACACACAAGAAAATTACTGCACTCACATGAAACATTTTCTATTTATGTTTTTCTGCTCTACACTCAATGCTGTAATTATTGATCTTTACTTTAGCTGTGTGCAATATCCCATGGACAACAACGCATCTCATTTCAGATCAGTAAAAAACGTAAATGAATTGTAAAATGCAACTATAGGTCCACTTTAACTTTATCCTCTGCAGCCTCTATTGTTCCTCCAGTTTGTTGCAGTAGCCTATATCTGCTGTTATTGGAAGCTGCGATGACTACAGCTTGATGTACAGAGCTCCGACAAGAGCTGCCTTTTTCGTTTTAGTATTCACAACTTATTCTTTGATCTGCAAGTGAATAAAGGACCTTTCTACAGCAAAGTTCAAAAGAAAGAGGCCTTTGATGGCTTAGGTATCCAAGAACTACCTGTGATCAGCAGATTACTGAAGTGAGAGTACTGTCCATGCCCGTGCTTATGAACAGCGTGAAGCAGCTATGAGGACATGATAGATGTCTCGCTCTACATGCTGAGGCAGAGGGGTCTCAAATTTAAAAGTGTGACCCCATGCAGGTACTGCAAGAAGCCATGACAAAATAGACTGCCAAAAGGAGCAAATATTAAAGCAGTATTGAAAAAAAAAAAAAAACCCCAAAACACTGACAGGCAGTACTTTGACAGAAGAGATCCAATTGGTGTCAGCATTAACCCCTTGGCGCTGGCGCCTCCTGGCCTTTTAAGGTTTTCAGAAGCCAGGAGGCAGGGCGGGGTTTAGAGTCATGTGACCACGTGGCACGCCGTCACATGATCGGGAATAGTCCCGATCGAAAGAGGAGATCAGGACCTTTCCTTGAGAACCGGACATGTGTGCTGGGAGCGCGCAGGGCACGCACTCTCAGCACATATATGTTCTTTTTCAATAGAACGCAAATTTGCGGCGGCCGCTCGGCGTCTAGGCCCAGACGCCGGGAGGCCACACATTTGCGTTCGGCCGGCGTGAAGAGGTTAATGTTCACTGACCTGAAGCTCAGCATCCTTTTATGACATCCCTCTGTGTTATGATTATGTTACTCCCACACGTGTGTGCAAATTTAACAGTGGCTACTGCTGCTGTCAATTACAGCCTGTGAGCCAATGAGGAGAGAGCATGGGGCAGGACCGAGGAACAGTGCGTGTGTGGATGGAGACACACAGCAGCGGCTTGGGAGTGAGACTGCTTGGGTAGAAAGCTGCTACTATTAAACAAGGCAGGGGAGAGGGGCCAGGAGCGTTGGCAGGGGACTTGGGAAAAGGAGGATCGGGGCTGCTCTGTGCAAAACTATTGCACAGAGCAGGTGAGTATGACTTTTTTTTTTTTTAAATGCCTTTAATATCACTTTAAGTCAGTGATGGGACAGCAGTATGAATGTAAAAATATGTATTTTAAACAAACATTACAAGCAACCCTAGACAGTGGGGTCCGGGTACACTGCCCTAGATAAACACCGAGCGCTACAGATCAGATGTAAAAATATGCACGTATTCTTTTCACATTTGAGTCTGCCAAGCATTGCAACCGCAAACAGAGGATCATGAGTGCCGTGCTCTGACTCCAGCAGACTATGCCACCAGCTCAGTTCCATAAGGACCTTCAACTACACAGCTGGAGGAAGCATCAATGAAGTACAAGTGCACTGATGTCACTGCATTTGTGTGCCGTAACTACAGTCCCTTTGCAGCAGTGGCAGATGGGTCATTTTTTCATTCACAACTCTGAATGACGTGGTTGTTCAAGTGAAGCCACACTTGCCAAATTCATATTTGACAAGAGCCGGCAGGAAGAAGAGCCTTCAATTCTGTAAGTGGGCAGGAGGGGCACAGTCAATGTTTCATGGTACACCCTGGATATGACCAACATGATGGAGTCCGCTCTTAGGCAATACCATTAGGTCACATCCCTGCCTCCAGCCTTTGACTGAACAGTGAAAGAGCAGCAACAGACCAATGAGGGAATCTCGTGCTCAGAAGGAACATGCTGAGAGCAGAAAGAGCAGACAGGACACCTAAATGGCCTCTCCTACTAATCTAAATACAGGAGTAAACAAGACACTCAAGTCAAATGTAGGTATTTATGGTAATTGCATTTAAAATATATTTGTTTTTGTAAATAAATACATAATTGCATCATCCCCAGTATGCTTAGTATCCTTTCAGATGATCATACCTCCTGTGCAAGATGATGAGCATACTCTATATCCAGCTCATACAGTGTTTCAATGTGATCGCTGGTGAAGGCAATAGGGACTAGGAGAATGTTCTTTTTTCCCCTCTGGCAGAGGCCTTTAATGGTTTCATCAGTATGAGGACCCAACCAGGGCATGGGACCAACCTGAAACATAAACAGAGATGCCGTAGCAGATCAGTCTGTTAGCCAGCTGTGACTGTAGATCACTTCAATTAGATAAAACACAAAATAAGAATTTAACAATTAACTTTGAGTAAAGTGGAAAAAAAAAAAAAGGAATAAAAGATCTTCCATATCTAGAAGGCATAGTCCAATCACATCTCTATGGCAGTACAGTCTTTGGAGAATCTTGGGCTGGATAGATCACAATAGTAAAAGAGGATGTCTCCAACATCCATCTTTTGGGGCCTCTGATGATGAGCTCTGGGCCTGTGTCGATGAGATACTTCGAACTGCTTTTGACATATGAGGTCATTTGGAATTACTTAGCAGGTGCATCTTACCTGCTGTTGACTTGCTTTAGGACACTTCTGCATAGACTTTTATAGAGAGAAGCAGTTCTGATGTAGACAAAAGCCCATCAACAGAGACCCCTACAAAATAGAAACTATATTAGGTTCATCAAAGATGGATAATGGCGTCAGGTTAAGGAGTACAGTGTAATCTCAGCTGTCTCTGATGGTTCTGTAGGTGGTGAGACAGCTGAGATTACACTGTACACCTAACCCTGACGCCATTATCCATCTTTGATGAACCTAATAATAGTTTTTATTTTGTAAGTGGCTTTTTATCAAATTGAGGTTGGTTTGGTTATTATACCATTGGAGGCTAATCCTTTCTTTCCATATTTGTGATTTCCAATAAACCTGATGGAGGAATGATCTTGGTCATGTGAAACCCGGAAGTTGAGGTGGATTAGTTAAAGCAAAGTATGCCATCAAGAGAGTGGTTGACATATGCTTCGTGTGAATATTTTCCTGACGGGAGAGGATTTCACGAGTACATATGGTGTGTGGTGGACATTTGGGGAAGAAACACAGCACCTGATTCTTTGCAATTTTATGGACAATTTAAGTACTTGTTTTTTTTATTCTGATCGTGCACTTTACTGTGAAATTATGATATATTTGATCACAGCTCTACTGTGGAGTCAAGGTGTATTTTCAGGTTGAACATCTCGATTTCATATGTTAACAAAGTGTCACGAAAAGCCTTTGCCACTACAAGAATAGCATTTGGAGGCTTCACATACAGATGTACAAAAGTATTTTGAGGAGTCTCACATAGGACACAGGACAGGGAGAGTTCTTCCACAATTAGGTTCATAAAAATAATTAAGGATACATTCAACCATTTAAAGCCAAACTTAAAAAAAAATACCCTTGCTATGGGGCTCCTCCGTGTTGTAAGGATGAATGCTTGTGTTTCCACCATTGGCTGCCTGAATACAGTGGCGCTACCAGTTACCACATTTGATAGGACACCATCTGCTAGGACAGTCACTGTACAACCAACAATTTCCCCCTGGCTTAGAATGGGGTGGGACCACCCACAGCTTGATATTCAGCCGATTCAACATGAATCTGCCAAAACTCAAGCCATATTTTAACAAGATTTATAATTTCGTAAGTTGCCTGAAAATATGGGAATGCACATAAATGAATCTCAGTATTAATACTATGATTTACTGACAGATCCTCGGCAGTGGTAATGTGAGAGCCCATCTGTTGGCTAAATGTTCTGTCTTTGCTTTGTTTTATTATTGTGCAATATAATCAGCATTTAAAGTAGAATTCCAGTTTTCAATGCACGTTAAAAAGTTCATTCGAGTCAAGCTCAGCACCCCCATAAACGAAAAAAACAACAACCACATTTTCATTACTAAACAATACAGTTGCTGTGTGTCCTGTACTACACTGTAGTACAATTAGCTATAAACAGTAAGTGGAGCTGTGTTTTCGGCAGCAGTATGGGAAACTTCCCATCTGCTGGCAAAATAAAAGTGAGTACTTCACCACCATGTATTTTTATCAATGAATACAGGGCTTCTTTTGATTGGCCGAGGTAGAAATGATGCCATCTGCCCGTCTCTCCACCTCGACCGAACAGAGGAAGCCTTGTATTCATTAATAATGAATAGAGGATTTGGTCCAAATCAACGTTTTAAAGTAAACTGAAACCTGGAATTCCATTTTAAAAATATAACAAAAAGCAAAACTTTTTTTTTTTTTTTTTAAAGATTTGGATGTAGTAGTGAGGGGATAGAACCCCTGACAGGTTTTGATTGCTGTCTGTGTGCCCTTTAGAAATAGTCACTCCCCCCATCAATATCACCAGCAATGAAAGTGAACAGAAACGTAAAATTTTGAGTTGCCACCAGAACAAGAATAAAGGTGAAATCTTTCAATGGGCGGGCAGGCAGGCGGGCGGGCGGGCCCATGCACGCACGCATTACCTTGTTCCAGTGAAATCAGTCACCATAGGTATTTCCTTCACATTGGAAAGATATCCTCTTACTCCCTGTTCAGTCTACAGGACAGAAAGTGATGGGAAATCACCCTGATTTACACAGATGTATAGGCAGCGCACAGATGAGGAGTCACCAGAACTTCTCCAAAAATGATCTGCAGCCCAACTCCAACAAAAACGTATTTGGCTTTAGATACACTACGGAAGTGTGTTAGAGCCTTTGTCAGGGTTTTATTGCTGTGTTCCTGTTGGGGAGATTTCCCATCACTTCGTGTCAGGATACACAGAGGAAACCAAAAACACATTTTTTATTAAAGTGGATGAGTGTTAGAGCAAGGTTTTCACTGCTGCCCATTGCCTTGACCACAACTCACCCCCTGCAATTACTTGTAGGGGTGTCACAGCGGCACAAGTTGAGAGATCTTTAAAATGGGATCATAGACAGAAAAACAAAATCTAACAGAAGATTTATGCTGTAACTATTCTTTCGAAAACGTAAAAAAAAAAAAAAAAAAAAAGCTGGAATAGGCTTTAAAGCACAATGATTACAAAATATATATTCTGATATATTCTATATTCTGATAACTGTATGCCGTTGATGTGTAATAACAGTATTCAGAATGATTTGTTCCCCCGAGAGACACGGTCACCTTGCCCATGAAGGGCAAAGTGACAGTGTCTCTGCAAAATACTCTATAACCCTGCACTGCCTCGCAAATCCTTGCTATTCCACAACTGCAGAAAATATCTGCCATTTCCAGGTATGGGAGAGCAGGTGTCCGTACCTGGGCAGAGCAGCCATTTACTAGGTCCAAGCACAATCACATGACCACAGGTTTCCAACATAACCAATTTTTTTTTTTTTTAATCCGACAATTTTTATTGAAAAAAATTTGACAATATCAACAAAAAGCAAAAAAAAAAAAAGAAAAAAAGAAAAAAGAAAAACCGATACCTCAGTATCAGAGAGTAGCAGAAAAAAGAAAACCAATAGAAAAAGTAAACAAGTGGCTTGTCCATTTTCACAACAAAAAAAAATACAATCTTGTAGGAGTAACACAATTTAGGTCTGCAATTTCCATTGGAAACACAGCTTGTGTGAGCAGGTATGTTAACATTACACACTACAACGGCACAAAGAGCATAAATCACAAATGTTATATAGTAAGTCTTAATAAGGTCTCAGGAGTCAGTGGAGATAAGGGAGGAGTCAGAGGATAGCCAGGGGTTCCAGATTTTACAGAATTTATTCGGGCAAACTCTATGCTTGTATGTTAATTGTTCCCTCTTTGATGTGAAATTCACTGCTTCTTTCCATTGTGTTCGTGTTGGAGGATTAGGCAATAACCACATTTGGTACAGGGTTCTGATCCATAACATATTATAATCCGAGGGTAACACCTAACCCTGGATAATACCCAATACAGCACTCTTAGGGTCTATAGGGACCTGCGTAGAACATATGCTGCTTAGTATACTGAAAATTACGGTCCAATAACGATGTAGTTTGGGACATCACCACAACATATGGATCAGTGGCCCATTATGTACTGTACACCGCAGGCAGTTTAGTGAAGAACATCTTCCCCGTGTGTGCAAGCGTTGTGGGGTATAATGAACCCTGAGTAAAATAAATAGTTGTGTCAACCATTGAGAGGGAGATAATGATACCCTAGGAATAAGTTCAAGTGCTTGCTGCCATTGTTCCTCTTCAAAGCGACCCACATCCTCCTCCCATCTATCTCTGCATTTCAGCTGTATCTGATCTCTAAATGTGGCTTGTAGAGCAGAGTATAAATCTCCTATCAATCCCCTTTTAGTACTGGATGAAGACACCGCCATTCCCAGTACATTGGAGGCATTATATTTCAACTCCATCGAGACAGCCTGACATTGTAATGCATGACGGAGCTGAAGATATTGAAAAAACATCTTCTGTGTTAAATGATATCTCTCCGCTAAGTTTTCAAAAGATAACAGAAGATCATTGCTATATAATTGAGGTAGATGAATAATACCCGCTTGTCGCCAGGTCTCGAAACCTGAAAAAGTGTGGCCAATTCAGGAAAGCTAGGGTTATTCCAAAATGGACATATATTGCCTATATCCTTTATGAGATGTGAGATCCCTAACAGATTCCCAAAGACGTTGAAGCATATAAAATGTGGGAAACTTACGATGTATCTGAAATTGACTCAACACCAACAGGTCCACTAAAGGTGCTTCCGGGAGTATAGACAAAGTGCACAGAATGGAGTCTAGAATATTAACTGAATGCCACCCATACATGTGTTGGAGTTGGGAAGCTTGGAAATACAGTTTGGTGTTAGGGGCTGCCAGACCCACACTATCCTTGGGGAGCTGAAAGGTGGCAAGTTTAATTCTAGGGTGTCCTCCCTTCCAAATAAGTTCCAGGAACAAGGTATCTATGGTTCTAAAAGTGTTTTGAGGGATCCAACATGGCAATTATGTAATAGAAATAACAATTGTGGCACCCATATTTTTACTAGGTTGGCCCTGCCAATAACTGACAAAGGCAAGTTCTGCCAGTTTGTTTCATCCTAGATAAAAGAGGGTCAATGTTATGGGCAAGTATTCTGAAGCTCTAGGTGTAACGTGAACCCCTAGATATTTTTAGGAAGAAACAACTGAAATCAGATTGGCCTCAGAGGTCC